CAATTACAGTATCATTAGTATTATCAATATAACTAAATAGTTTAAATCAATCACCCTTATACATAACACCGACTTTAATTTACTCACATAATTTTAACTATTCATCACTTTCAATCACTTTTCTCCTATTTTTACATCAAACAAATATTAATTATTTAGTTTTAAATATTACTAGTCCAATACTCATGTACTACATGGATACATGTTATGATTTTTATTACAATTAAATAATAATAACAACAACATTTGTTTTAGTTTTTAAATACATTTTTAAAAAAATGTATTATTATTTATATTTAAAATGACGTTGTACTTACACGACTTACCCTCTTATATTATAACTTTTTTTAATATATATGAGAAACTACTTTATAGTTAATATAGCTTAAATAACTTATTCTTCTGAATTAATATTAATAGGTAATTTAATTTTAATTATACAGATAAATAAAATTATTTATTTATTTTGTATGTACAACATATATGTCAACTCGAAGCTCAACAAGACATGATTAATTAAATTATTAACTTCTAAATATATTTATAGTTTAAGGTAGTAAATTTTTTATAATTTTAAAAGAAATATGAGTAAAAAAGAAAGATTGGGATAAAAATTATACTTTATAAATCACACATATAATAGATAATTCTATTAAACTATAATTAATGCTATTAAAAAAGTTCATAAATATCCAATATAGTTATAATTATACCAAGTCTAGTTACTTTTGAATTGAAAATAAATTAAAAAATTTTAAATCAACCAATCAAAATTCAACGGATAATAGGCCTTGTTTGTTTATTGGCTTTTTGCCTTACTTTAGCGTTTTGACTTTTTTAATCCAACCAAAAAAGACATTTGGTAAATAGCTTTCGAAATCAACTTTTTTGATAAAACTGCTAAAAATAAAAATGCTGTCTTTTAGAGCGTTTTGAATGGCTTTTTGAGGCAAAAATAATTAAAGCCATAATTGCCCTTTTCTCTTTCATGGCATTACCCGCAACTTCTCTGTGAAATCAGGACAAATAAAAACTCTACCCTTACAACTTCTGCAAATTGAAAAAAAAAACAAGAAAAGTCACAGGCTTGGGAGACGGCCCAAAGCTCTATAACGAGAGGATTTCGACCGCACGACAGCAACCATCCATGGCAAAAAGAATCGAACAGTAGAATTAACAAATCGGGAAATATTTTCCGCAGTATTTAATTATCTGTCCGATTTGGATATGTGTTGATATAAATGCGATAATTGTTCATTTGGATATGCAATTGTTATATGGCATACCCTTTCGTGAGTTTTGGGATGAAAAATACTACCTCCTATGTTTTTTAGATGTCATTTTAGTTTTATCAACCATTAACTAAATAAACTAGCAACTATCATGTGCACAATATAATAAGTAATATTTGAGAATTTAATATTAAAATTTTAGATAATGAACATATTACATTTTTAAAATTTAATCATTAGAAAAAATAAATTAATGATTGTTTATTATGAACAATTGTTAATTATCATTAGATAATAACAGTTTGATTATTATTATTATTATTATTATTATTATTATTACAAAAATAATTGTTTATAAGATTCTAAAGTTGTGTGACTATGCTATTAAAACAATTTACTAATTGTTTTTAAAGAATTTTTTTCATGAGATACAAATGAAATAGATAATATTGATGCTAAAATAAATAACTTGAAACAATTGTTTATAATTATTGAATTCATATTTTTTGTGAATTATTATTAGTTGGTATTAGCATTAATTAATATATAATATAATAGAAAAACATATGATTACACTCAATAAGATGTATTAATGTGAGAAGTAAAAAATATTAATGATAAATTTTGTAATCGAAAATGTTTTAAAGGTTTTATTAAATAGGTTTTTTTAAATGTTATTAGCTAATAATTATATATATATATATATATATATATATATATGATGTTTTGGATCTTTTGTACATATTTTTCCATTATTACCCTTATTTAGTTAATAATTATACTACGTCTTTTCATATTCACTTTTCATCTTCTCTCAAAACATATTATTAGCAAAAAAAATATTCTTAATTATTGTGCAACTTCTCAAAACGACACTTATTAAAAATAAGAGAGAGTATGTTTTTTATGGAACAATGTTTAAAAAAAAGTCCATGTTAAAAAAAATATTCTTAATTATTGTGCAACTTCTTAATTATTATGTAACATTAGACTATGTATATATATCAAAAAATATAATTATATAACCGTTAGTTAGGGTTGCTCCATACTTCTATACGATGTCACCCTTAACTTTACAAGCATTTGGACTCTTACATATTTCACCTCATCATTCGAAAAACTTAGTGCATGCTTGGATATAGGTGTATAAAAAAAAATCAAATCACAACTCAAATATAACTCATCTTTAACTCAATTACAGTATCCTTAGTATTATCAATATAATTAAATAGTTTCAATCAATCACCCTTATACATAACATCGACTTTAATTTACTCACATAATTTTAACTACTCATCACTTTCAATCACTTTTCTTCAAATTTTACATCAAATAAGATTTTATTTAGGGCTCATGAGTCATGATGAGAATTTTGGTAAGGTAATATATTGAAAAAGATTTTTATCAAATAAGATTAAGGACAAATATAACTTGATTGTTTTTTATTTAGAATTTTGTGGTTGACACCAGGGGCGGACGCATAAATTTGAAAGGGGAGGGATACAATTAGGGGTGTGCATCGACGACCGAACCAAATTAGGAAAACCGAAATAATTGAACCATACTATGCCAATAACCGAAATCGACCGAATTATCAATTTAAACAGAGCATTAACTGACCGAACTTCTTTGTCGGTTTTCAAACTATACATTTAAATATATATATATATATATAATATATATTATATAATAATCTATATAATATAATGGTTATTTTCATTTATTGCATATAGCTCATATAGCCCACCGGCAGACGCCCTTTATGTACTATATTGTATTTTAATATTAATGTTCATTAATTAAACTAAATTCATTTTAGTGAAAATTCATAATTCTTAACATAAATAATCAAATAATTAAAAAAGAAAATATATAGAAGGTAATTAGTTAATAGATCTATTTATAAGAGCTAGTTTAATCACCCAAACCCCTCAATTAAAACAATCTACCTAATTACATACATCATTTTTCTTTTAGAAAATAACTAAAATAAAAGATGTATAAAAATCAATCATCTAGTTATGAATGATATTTCATAAAAGTTCATTTAAGAGCCTATTAGGTTTAATTTTTTATCAATCTTTATTGGACATTTGTTCATTCTTTCTCTCTCTCTCTCTCTCTTTTTCTAATATATATATTTTAGATATATAAGCCTTCTTAAGTCTTAATCCTCTCGCCCCTTTTTTTTCTATAGAAAAAACCTAGCCTCGCATCTTCACTTCGCCGCAGATTAAGCCTTCTCCGGCACAGGAGCGGCTCGGGCCAGTGGTCACCCATGACCGCTCGGCCGCCCCCGATAACGTGACTCTTCGATTTTGCTGCAAAAGCTGTTTCAATGAGAGCGACTGCGGTGGTGGGCCTCGGTCGGAGGCGGGCGGTCTCCCTCTGATAACGCCAGCGGTCTTCGATTGGATGGTTCACCATCAATTTCATTGGGTCGGCACTCGGAGGCTCATCGGTCGATTTCAGGCTGGGCTTCTGGGTATGGATTTTGGTGCTCGAGCTTGAGATATCAGCGGACTGCGGTGGTGTTGGGAGGCGTGTTGGTCGGCGGGCGGATCGGGACTCCGGCGTCTGCGACGTCACTCATCGGGGTGCGGGAGTAGCAGGATTAGCCATCTCTCATTCCCTCCGGTTCTCTGGTGTTGGGGACTGGGTGGGTCCGACGCCTTTTAGTTTGGCTAGTGGTGTTAGGCGAGCTAACGTGGGGTTGTTGCAGGGATTTGGCTGGTCGTACTCTCGGTCGAAGGTGGGTTGATTCGGGTTAGTCTCGGGATCTTGGTTTAGCTTCTGTATAGGCGTTCGACAGCAGTTTCGGAAGTTGAGCATCGATCTCGGTTCTTTCTTGGATTGATTGGTTCTCTACTGGTTTTGATCCATTCTTTTGTTGGAGAAGGGCGTTATATGTTTTGTGTTTTTGTTGTTGCGTCTGTTTTGTGTTGTATGTGTTGTCTTGGCAGTAGTGATTGTTTGTGTTTTGTATTTTTGGTTTGGACCGTTGGCCCCTGTGAGCCCGAATGTCAAACTTATTACTCCGTTGGGGTCCGACACTAGGGTATTACCCTGTTGGGGTCCTTGTAATTGTTCTAGTTGTTTGTGTTATTGGTTAGTTTAGTTGTGAGTGTGTTTTTTAGTCTAGCGTTGCTAGTCGGGATTCTAGGCGGACTTCTGACCTGTCCTCCCACTTTTTCAGCTGTTGGCTGCTGTGTATTCGCACATTTGTCCATTTTGATTTATAAAATTATCTATCGTTTCGGAAAAAAAAAAAAAA